AAATTACAACAAGCAGCCTTTCGGCTGAGATAGCTTCGCTGTTAGCAATGCACATTTCAATTAAAGAACTGAAGATATCATTAGAAAACGAACAATATGAATAGTATCAATGCTATGGGACTTGCTGTTTTCAACAAGAATTCAAAAATATCAATTTTTACCATTAATGATTGTGGTTTTTAACAAGAAGTCGAAAATATCACTTTTTACCAAAAATGACAAAAAATATTCACCAAAATTAGAGAATTGAAGATATGAACATGAAATGAACAAATCTGAGAGAGGTCCACATGTAGTACCTATATATGTAATATCAAAGCAATTGGACTTGCGGTTTTTAACAAGAAGTTGAAAATATCACTTTTTACCAAAAATGACAAAAATATTCACCAAAATTAGAGAATTGAAGATATCAACATGAAATGAACAAACCTAAGAGAGGTCTACCCAAGGTACATATACACCAAGTATCAAAGCATTCAGGCTTGTAGTTTTCAAGAAGAAGTCGAAAAAGTAAAACATTGACACGGACGACGACGGACAATCACTCATATGATAAGCTCCACTCGACAAAGTCGACAGCAAAGCTAAAAACTGGAATCAAACTAGCGTACCAATCATGATTTTTATGCAATAAAATATACTTTTTACATGTATATTTTAATAAATGGCATTGACGCCCGGTAAAAACACCCTGGGCCTATACTCGGGAATGCCCTCAACTCGTTAAATGTCCAAAAACAGAGGGGTGGGCTTATACTCGGGGAGGGGCTTATACTCAAGGGAAGTACGGTACTAATACTTTTTTGGTTGGAGGCAGTGACAATCATTCTACCACTTCAGTTGTATCACTGCAAGAAACTCGTTTTTATTAGTTCTAGGAAATTTCAACCCAAATCAAAGTTAAACTGTAAATAGCTCCTGTGTGATCAGAGCATGTATTATAAAGGTATAGGCTTTGCCTAATAAGTGAATGTAATTTCATGTACCGTATTTATCCGTGTATAAGCCCAGGGTTCTGAACATGGAAAATTGCCAAAAAGAAGGGGTGGGCGTTTGCCAGGAGATCCCGGCAAAAACACGAAAATTGTCAACACGCAGATTGAACTGCGGCAGGGAATAGAACGGCAAATGAATACATGCAACGGAAATAAATGAACAATATGCAACACTAGAAGTATAACAAAAATAATGTATTGCTTATAATGTGACAAATAAACCAGAAATAATAAAAATCGACAGTGAAGAATCATTTGAATTAGGATTTTCCCACTGACAAACACGCAAAATACGCGTGAACTTAAAATCAATTTAAAGTCAAAATTAAAATGGGTTAAACTGCGAAAAATGATTTCCGGTCTCGACAAATTACGAATCAACTGTCATACAAGACCAATAATAATTTACAAATTTACACAGTAAAAATTATAAAAATTCATAGCTGTTTGAAAAAACTTCTCAGATCTTTATTTGTACTTTCATTGCCATCTTCATCAAAGATGCACACGATGTTTTTCTTTACAGTCTAGCAATCATCTTTGACCTTTATGCATCTGCTTTACTGATTGGCTAAGAATGACATCACTACTAGTATTTCATCATAAAGGTCAAATCGTGACATTGCTTTCTTATCAGACTCAACGCTTATTAATCACGGTTATCATTCAGCAAGTTCCGGCGGTTGGAATGTCTCACTATATGGATATCGCGGTGGACTTGAAATAGGAAGTTTTTTTTTATCCAACGACAGAAGAATAGTTTCCATGACAGAAATGCAATAGCGGTGATAAAAGATGGTAAAAAAGTTGGCAGTCTTCGGCGTGACATTGCAAAATTGCTGGCCCCGGTTATGGATTCGCAAGCTGCTACAAAATATTTTATAAAGCCGAAATAACGTGATTTCAACCATTCTCCCAGGTACGGGTTGCTACAATATTGCAACATTGTTTTCATTGTCGACGACGCTATAGCCGAACGAGTGTGACACTTGCTTAGCAGCTCTCCTTATACGATTGGCTTGAATCGTTTCTAAGGAAGCACAAACCAAACGGCCACGACATATTTCAAAAAGGGAACTACCGTTTCTGCTTTAATATTTATTTTTATAGACTTGCTGACTGTTATGATTCTGAAAAAAATCAGCGGTGAACGCGCTGCCCTGAAAGCAGAAAGCTGTCACAGCTATTTTGGGTTCACCCCTTGTTTTACACAATTAACAATTTTTATAAGTATCACGACAGACTTCAAGAAAGTCAACTGTTAATACAACCACAGTCAACCAATAAAAAATAGTTTTTTTGTTTTTTGTTTTGGGTAGAAAAAGACCCCCTGGGCGTGTGCCCGGATATGACC